GCAGTAGGGATAAAACACATGTGTTTATGTGTGTGTGTGTGTGTGTGTGTGTGTGTGTGTGTGCGAGAGAGAGAGAGAGAGAGAGAGAGAGAGAGAGAGAGAGAGAGAGAGAGAGAGAGAGAGAGAGAGTTAGAAATGGTAGATTGAGAATATACTAACCTCCCTTTGCAGCTGGTATTAGAGGCAGAAAAGCAGCACCAGGTGTTAACGTGGGTTCAGACCTCTTTCTTGAGGTCTCCCTAAGAGAAGGACTCAGAGGCAATACTGAAATTATATATTTTTAAAAGTTTATTTAAAAGTCACAGATGTAGAAGAAAGGGCTCAGGAAACAAGTAGTAACAACAAAAGAAAGGTAATTGGATCTTGTGGAGCAGGGGAAGAGATGAGAGAGAGAGAGAGAGAAAGAGAGAGAGAGAGAGGCTTTTTGAGAAATGAAACTTGAGAGATGAACTGGGGAGGAGAGATTTGGGAGTTCTGGGGCAGGGGGTGGGAGGTGAGTGCCCTGGGGAAAAGGAGGGAAATGAGGAACATGGGAAATGCTGGGGAATCCACAGAGAGGCTTCCATTAAGTCTTTGGTCCTGAGAGCTTTTTTCTGGAGGTCTCAAGGGAGGATCCTAATAGAGTATTCATCTGCTTTCCAAGTGTGTTTCCTCAGGGTCCTGGTCTTCACTGATTGGCTGGAACCAGGGAAGTGGGTCATCAGTCAATAAAGCTGGTCCTAATGTCAGCCATAGTGTAGCTCCACCTGGTTTTGCTACAGTTCTGGGTCTGGATCTGAAACACAGCGGAGACCTAAATGCCATCTTCAAGAGTTACTGCTTAAAGGAGTGTTCGGCAAGGGCTTGTAGTTTTCTCTGTTGCTAGGTGCCCGGGGCTTTCCGCCCTGGTGACCCACTGCACCTGCCCAGTATTTCTAATGCCTTCTAACTATCTCCTGAAGTGGGGTAAGTCAAATGTAAACTGAGAACTAAAAAATATATTTCTATATCAAGAAATATATGGACTTATTATACATATTTGTCGGAAATTACACTTCTTTTCAAATTTATGTCAAGTTTGCTACTGAGCTCTGTGAGGTCGCAGAGTCTATTTTCAGTCTCAAAGATCAAAATCTTTCATTTCGCCATCTGTTTAAAAACACTTTTTTTCATTATCTTTTCTCTGGCTGAGTAAAATCAGAGAAGACAGATTGCAGTCTGTTGAATTCTTAGCAAGTAAATTCATTCTAGAAAAGAAATCTAAACAAGGCAATGACCCTATTATATCAATCAGCTCTATGGTTGAAAGTAGGAGTTAGAAATGTTGATATTTTCTTAAGCTTCTCGTTGGAAAATGAATCTGGTCCTTCAAGTCACTGCTATCTGTCTTTGCTACAACTGTAGTTCTATAACTGCTCCGTCTGACAGCCAGTGGATTAGGCTCAGTTAAAGGCAGGCAGTCCACTAGAACTGTAAAGGCCTGTGTGGAGGAGTGGGCAGAGACTTTCCATGAAGCATTTATGGGCTGCCCTGGCTGGTCTGGTGGCTCAGTTGGTTGGAGCATTGTCCCCTACACCAAAAAAATAAAGGTAGAGAGGCAGGGAGGCAGGGAGAGAGGAAGGAAGGGAGAGAGGAAGGAAGGGAGAGAGGAAGGAAGGAAGGAAGGAAGGAAGGAAGGAAGGAAGGAAGGAAGGAAGGGAGGAAGGAAGGAAGGAAGGAAGATGAGGGATTCATTCCTAGTCAAGGCACATACCTAGGTTTTGGGTTCAATCCCTGATCCAGATGCTTTCAGGAGGCAACTGATCAAAGTTTCTCTCTCACATGTCTCTCTCTCTCTCTCTCTCTCTCTCTCTCTCTCTCTCTCTCTCTCTCTCTCTCTCTCTCTCTCTCCCTTCCTCTCTCTCACAAATCAATAAACGTATCCAAAGGTGAAAATAAAGTAAAAATGAAAAGCAAGCATGCATGCGGTGTTTAGAGAGCTATCCCCCAGAAGAAATCGTACAGAGTGAAATCAGATGAGTGGCTCCTGCCAGACTCAGGAAGAGTACAGAAAGATAGTTGCTGTTCTGCCTATATATCACCTCCCTTACCTTGCAGAATTTTAATGGTTCATATCTGTCTTTCAAATAAGCCTTTTTTTTTTGGAAAAACAAACAAACAAGACCTGACTCATAGCACTAGAGAAATTGTGAGAGTGCCGCTCTTTTTAAATTTGCCAAGGTCCACTGATCAATTTTATAAGTACCCAGACATGGAATGGAAAACCACTGTAGTCTGGGATTCTCATTAAATTAGACTTTGGTGCAAAGCAAAAGATAGGTGTCCTGGCTGCCATTTCAAGTGTCTCTCCCATCCCCACAAAAACAAAAACAAAAACAAAAACCCACAAGTAAGGGGAAATAAGTGTTCATGAAATCCTCAAGTGGTTGAAGGGTTTTTAATAGGAAAGTGATCAGAAACAGGGTTGCTAAATAATGTTCCTCCTTTAAATGTTACAATTTCTTTGTCTTTCTTATCTTTCCTTTCTGCATATCTAATAAGGTCACCTCATGATCAGCCACTCTTCCTTTGTTTCTTAGATTGTTTTCTTCCTTATCCCTTATCTTATATATTTATATTTCATATATCTCTGACCACATTACCTGGAATTGCAAACTTAGTTGACACTTTAAAAAAAAAAAAATCTCTATGATCATTATAGAACTTCTTTCCAGAAATGGGCTTCTCTTTCCCCTTCCATGGCCCCAAACAATACATTTCACCACAAATCCTGGAAAAAAAAAAAATCTTTGCATTAAAGCAATAGGGCAGGGAAGAAGAAGACACCTCATGGCTGTAACAGGGCAGCAGGGAGGGACCCTACTTGGTGAGGACAGGGTACCATCCTGACCCCACTTGGGCATGTGCAGAAGAGAACCAATTGACATCTTTCTCCCCCCATCCCCCCCGTTCCCTTCTCCTCATCTTTTCTCTCCATCCCTTCCGCTTTCTTTAAAATAATTCAATTGAAAAAATATCCTCTAGTGATAATTAACAACAACAAAATTATGAAGAAAAAAAAACACACACAACACAATTGACAAACCTTTATCCAGACTCATTAAGAAAACCAAAAGTGAGGACCCCAGTTAATAAAACCAGAAATGAAAGAGGATAATTAAAAACTGACTACACAGAAATACAAAGGATTGTAAGAAGACATTACAAACAACCATATGCCAACAAATTGAACAACCTGAATTAAAGAGATAAATTGAAAGAAATATACAATCTTCCAAAACTCAGGAAGAGGAAGAAAATCTGAAAAGATCTACTGCAACTAATGAAATTGAAGCAGTGATACAAAAACTCTCAACAAAACAAAAATGCTGAACCAGATGGCTTTATAGGTAAATTTTACTACACATTCAAAGAAGAACTAATATATGTTGTTCTCAAACTGTTCAAAAAAAATTCAAAACAAGGGAAGACTCACAAGCTCATTTTATGAGGCCAGTATTTATCCTAATTCCAAAACCAAACAGAGATACTACAAAGAAATAAAGTTATAGGCCTATATCCCTGATGAACATAGAAGCTAAAATCCTCAACAAATATTAGCAAAGTGGATCCAGCAATACATTGGAAAGATCAAACACCATGATCAAGTGGGTTTTATTCCTGGGATATGCAAGGCTGTACAATATCTGAAAATCTATCAAATGATACAGCATAAATAAAATAAGGAATAAAATTACATGATTATATCAATAGATGCAGAAAAGGCACTTGGCAAAATCCAGTGCCCATTTATGATGAAAGTTCTTGGCAATTGAAAATAGAGCGAACATACCTCAACATAATAAAGGTCGTATATGACAAGCCTACAGCCAATATCATACTCCCTGGACAAAATTAAAAGTGATTCCCTTAATGTCAGGAGGAAGACAGCGATGTTCACTTTTACCACGTTATTTAACATAGTACTAGAAGTCATAGCCACAGCAGTTAAAAAAAGAAGAAATAAAAAGCATTTGAATTGGAAAGGAATAAGTAAAACTGCAATCACTTGCAAATGACATAATGGAGTATATAGAGAGACAAAAATATTTCACCAAAACATTACCAGAACTGATCAATGAATTTATTACATTAGCAAGATACAAAATACATATCCATGAAGCAGTTGAATTTGTATACACCAGTAATGAACTATCAAAAGTGAAACTAAGAAAACAATCTCAGTTACAATTTTTTTTTGCATCCAAAAAAACCAAAACTAAAAATAAATTTAACTAAGGACTTAAAATACCTGCACTTGAAAAATTGTAAGACACTGAAGCAAGAAAATTAATAGTTGGTGGGTGGAGCTCAATGGTTGGAGTGCCTGTACATGCGCTGAATGGCCAAGGGCTCTGTACCTTGTCAAGGGCACATACCTTGGTAGCAGCTTCCACCCCAATCCAGCAATCTCTCACATCATTGGGTCGGTCTCTCTCTCTCTCTCTCTCTCTCTCTCTCTCTCTCTCTCTCTTTCTCTCTCTCCTACTTCTTCTCTTCCCTCCCCCCTACTTTCCACTCTCCTACTTCTCTTCCCTCCCCCCTACTTTCCATTCTCTGTAAAAAAAAAAAAAAAAAAAAAAAAAAAAACAATGAAAAAAAATATCCTTTGACGAGGATTAACAAAACTGAAAGAAAGAAGAAAAGAGAGAAAGACATTAAAGAAAAAAGAAAAACAGATTGACAGCTGTCAGAAGGGAGGGAGGTTGGGGGGCTGGGTAAAAAAGGTAAAGGGATTAAGCAAAGAGAAAGAAAACTCACAGACACAGACAGCAGTATGGTGATTACCACAGGAAAAGGTGTTGGTAGAAGAGGGTATAGCAAGGATAAATGGTGATGGAAGGAGACCTGACTTGGGATGGTGAACACACAATACATACACAGATGATGTATTATAGAATTGGGTACCTGGAAGCTATACATTTTTATTAACCAATCTCACCCCGATAAATTCAATTAAGAGAGAAAGATGAAAGAAAGAAAGAAAGAAAGAAAGAAAGAAAGAAAGAAAGAAAGAAAGAAAGAAAGAAAGAAAGAGGAAGGAAGGAAGGAAGGAAGGGAAGAAGGAAAGAGGAAAGGAAGGAAAGAAGGAAAGAAAGAACAGCCTGGCACAAGCTGCAACCTGGATGCACCCTGAAGACTTGAGGCTCAGTGAAATAAGCCAGTCACAGAGACAAATACTGAGTGATCCCTCTCACATGAGGTCTCTGGAACTGTCAGTCATAGAGACAGAGGTAAGATGGAGGGTCCCAGGGGTGGGAAAGCGGGATGGGGAGCTGTTTAGTGGGGAAAGTTTCAGTTGGAGAAGATGAGAGCAGGGATAGAGATGATATGGTGACAGCTGCACAATGCTATGAATATACTTACCACACTGAATTGTGCATAAAAAGCTAAAATGGTAAATTTCATTGTATATATTTTACTGTGGTAAAAATATCTAAAAACCTAACAACAACAAAATAGAAGACCAAGTTTACAAACAGAATCTTGGTAGGACGTGCTCAGGCTACCTGAACTCCTGCTCTCATGCGGCCTGACAGACAGAGGTAAGAAGAGCCTGGTGTCCGAGGTCTGCTGAGCAAACTTGGACAATCCCTCGTCCCCCTTACAGGCTGATTGAGAGAAGCAAAGGATGCCACGTGAAGGGAGTCACCACTGTGCAGAAAGGTACACAGGCCAGCAACTGGCTTCTCATGTTGAGGACAACTGAGCAGCCCCACAGGCAATGGATGGAACCCCGCAGGGAGACTGCACCCCCAAAAGTCCCTGGAGACCCACGTGAAGAGGCCAGCTGACAAGTGCCAACAGGATTTAAAATGGTGACCTATTTAAAATGATGATGTTGCCGAAACTAGTTTGGCTCAGTGGGTAGAGCGTCGGTCTGTGGACTGAAGGGTCCCAGGTTCAATTCCGGTCAAGGGCCTGTACATTGGTTGCGGGCACATCCCCAGTGGGGGGTGTGCAGGAGGCGGCTGGTCTGTGTTTCTCTCTCATCGACATTTCTAGCTCTCTATCTCTCTCCCTTCCTATCTGTAAAAAATCAATAAAATATATTTTAAAATAAATAAATAAATAAATAAATAAATGAAATTATGATGTTAATACATGTTTTAATAGGAGGCAATTGATTCCATGTAATTAATGTGCTATTATTACTTTCTAAAGTAATAACTCACAAGGCTGTGTTGGTGATGAGTCCACTATAGACACACATTACAAGAGGATGGAATCATTGTTCTGTCAGTGTGGTTATGTTGTTGTTTGTTAGTTTGATTTAAATTGTTTTCTAATTGATTTTAGATCGAGTGGAAGGCAGGGAGAGAAACACTGATGAGATGGCTCCTGCGGAACCAGTGACTGTTCGATGCAAGGTATGATGCAGAAGCAACTGAGCCACTCTGGCCAGGGCAAGGCTGTCAGTGTTTTGCTGTGACTTTGTTTAACTTCATCTGAAAATGTGACCAAAGTCTAAATTTAAGGCCTTATGGTTACAATGAGATAACTCCCTGCTTGGGGCACCAGCACAGGCACACACATCTCCCCACATTCATACACTCCCATTCCCAATCATTCATACACATTTTCATTCACACATTCACATATGCATGCACATGCACACACATACATTCAACTTCATACATGGATACACACATTCACACATTCATGCATTTCACACACAGTCACATCCATTCACAAAAACACATCTGTTGTGAAGGGCTGGTATACACACAGATGGTGTTGTTCCCAGGGTGTTAGTGCTGCTCAGTCCTCAGATCTGGGCCAAAGTCAAGGTCTACTTAGGAAATTTCATCAACAGTTCCCTTGGGTTTCCTCATGCTCCCTCCTGGAGTGCCCCTTCAGCAGACTGTCAGGCCATTCTGGCAGATAAAGAGTAGCACAACATAACAAAAGTTAAAAGACAGAAAGAGAAAGGAACAGAAAGCTAGTCGTGAAACCATAGGACCATTCAGAGATTAAGAAAATGCAGAGCTCTGCAGAATCTTTAGGTCCCAACCTCTCCCTTTCCCATCGATAATGATGTCTTCCTTTCTCTTCTAGCTGTCTGCTGAGATGCACCTTCTCTGAGAGAAGAGAGACAAGTGGGAGAACCTGCCCCTGGCTGAGGGAGGGACATGCTGCAGCCTGGCGCCCTCCTCAGGATGTTTCCAGGAGAGTCCAGGCCACCCCAGCAGACTCCCTCCCTGTCTCCTTCACATGAATTTCCATGGCCATCTCAGTGCTGTGGGAAGCAGATGTAGGACCACATTTTCAAAACAGCCTTCGCCAAGTGCAGCCTCAGTATAGCAAAGGCAGTTGGAAGCAGCAGTGAGAGTAGCAAAAAAGGTGGAATAGTTACATTTACCATGTGTCGGTTAATAGTAGGGATCAAGAGATAAAAAGGAAGAATATTATAAAATTATTTTATTATCAAACCTTCAGATCTATTGAGCCATATGTTTATTGCTGTGTCACATTCCTCTGCTTCATAAATAAAGTCCATATCCCATGTTAAAGGCTGTCCAGAATATTTCTTTATAAAATACTAATAGTTCTATTAATAAACAGGATTCCTTTCATTTAGAAACAGAAAACTTAGGAGAAATTACTTACCTCTATGAAGATATTTGTTATTAAATTCTTATACTTTAGCTTTTGAATCACTGATCAGGCACCTGAAAACACAAATACAAAGAATTTCTTAGAAAGTTTCAGCCAGGAGTATTTCCACATTTGGTAAAATAAAACTAGAGGCATTGTGTATGAAATTCATGAGGGAGGGGAGTGTCTGCCCTCTCCTCCCATCCATCTTGAGGAGGCCATTTTGTTGCAGTCATCTTGTGTGTTGGAGTTACTGTCAATTTACATATTACCTCTTTTTTATATAGAACTTCAATGCTCTGGCTATAAAACTGCTCTAAATTGAAAATACTAAAATACACATAGACTATCAACAAATGTAACTTTATTAATTGAAACAATAGTTTCAAAGTTTCTATAGTTTTATTATAATAGACTTTTACTATATTTCTTACACTCTAAATATTCTATTCTACCAGTATTTTTTACAATATATCGATTTACCAACTACTTTCGAATTCAGGACCCCTTTCAACACTTCTGCCTCCTCTATCTTGCCTTAAAACCATAATTCTCAGTCACCTTCTCTCAGACCTACTTCCAAAACTCAGTGTGTGAAATAAGAGATGCTGACAAGAATGTAAAGAAATGGATCTGGGTTTTGTTCTATGTAGTTCTGAGGACCTTTTGCTTCTGAGACCTCTGGCAATGGACCAGAAATCTTTCTGGCTGCAACCTGCCTGCTCTTGTCCACCTAGAACACTCTATAACCAACAACAACCTCTAGGAAGCACAGGAACCCATGAAAGTTGAGAACCCTGAAACTGAACTTTCATTAGTTTTAATGGTGAAAAATCCTGCGAGTGTGTTTTATGTAAACGTGCTGATGCTACAAAAGATGAAGCCAGTGAGAACATCATTAAAGCCTTCTAAACCAACAACAGAGTTTTGTGCAATCTGACCTCGACAGTTTGTGAGCTTTGTATCCCACTGCTCTCCCACCCTGTTCTGTGCTACTGTCAGTTACTCCTGTCACTTCTGTGTTCTTTCAAAATATAATAGTAAACACCACTCTACCTCAGAGCTTTTTCTAGGAAAGGAGGGGAAGAATAGCATGATGGCAGGGCAGCCTAGGTTTTAATACTGGCTTCATAACTGACTGACTATGAACTGAGTGTAAGTTTTTATTTTAATTTTTAAAATGTATTTAAAAGAGAGAGAGAGAGAGAGAGAGAGAGAGAGAGAGAGAGAGAGAGAGAGACAAGTTGTTCCATTTATTTATGCATTCATTAGTTGATCGTTGTATGTGACCTGACTGGTATGGAATTCATAACTATAGCATACCTGGATGACACTCTAACAAACTGAACTACCTGGCCAAGACCAAGGGATAGTTCTTGACCTTCCTTTTATCCAGTCCACTAATCTTTAAAAACAGATAGTAGAAATATATTTGTGAGACTAGAACAGTACCTGGCATATAGTAAGCAATCAATACATATTAGATGCTGCTGCTATTGCTATTAGTACTTTAGTTCATAAAATATATTATTTTCAAGAAAGCCTTTTCTGGTTATTTCTTCCCCTAATTTAGATGTAGGCCCCCTTCAGTTTTCATGGCACCTTATATCTCTCCTTTATAGGATTTGCCATAATTTTCATCAGACCATTATCTATAAAATCATTTGTTTAATATCTGCCTTCTGCTCCCCTGTTACCCACTAAATGGTAAGCTCCATTTAAGGAACCCTACTGTCCAGCTCACTGCCTGACCTATACAAAGGGTTTAATAAATATTTTTTAAATGTGTAGACCCTGAAACAACATGAAAAGACAACCCACCGAGTGGAAGAATATAATCACCAATGATACCTCTAATAAGGGTTTAATATTTAAGATTTATGCAGATATGAAACTCAACACAAAAATACAAATATTCAAATTATAAAATGGAAAAATAAAACCTGCATATACAGTTTCCCAAAGAGGCCAATAGACATATGAAATGATGCTCAACATCAATAATCAGGGAAAAAATGTAAATTAAAATCACAATGAGCCCTGGCTGGTGTGGCTGAGTTGGTTGAGAGTTGCCCCATGAACCAAGAGGTCCCCGTTTGATTCCCAGCTGGGGCACGTGCCCAGGTTGCTGCGCCATCCAAGGAATGCGGCAGCAGGAGGCCACCACTGGATGTTCTCTTCTCACTCTCCCTCCTTCTGTCTCTAAAATCAATGGAAACCTGTGTTTTTTTAAAAAAACACAATAAGATATCACCTCACACCTTTCAGAATGGTTACCGTGAACAAATCAACAAATATCTGATAGAAAATTAGGGATAGGAAAAGATATCATTAGTGTGATAATGTGTGTTTAAAAAAAAATAGAACAAACATTGTCCAGAGTAATAATACAATAAAAATATTCTTTTAAAATAAGATATGATACATTTACATCTGGTATTATTGATTCTGGTGGCCTTAAGCAGCAGGAAAAAAATATTTGTTTGATAAATTGTCCTTATAGAAATTTAATTGTCTGCAAAGAAAAAACTAAGATAATCAAAAGACAATTCATTAGAGGTAATAAGAAAATGTGGCAATGATATTTGGGTACATATGTATACAAACAAAATCAATTGCCATTCTTACATAACCACATGTAAGTGTTAGAAAATATTTTAATTGATATAATTTAAGTAGCAAAATGAGGTCAGGAATAAATCTTATAAAAGGTATCCCTGGTTTAAAAAAAAATGGAGCAATAAATGTACTTATATATGAGAAGACAGGGTTGTATTGATGTAAATTTCCCATCTTAATTTAAATATTAAAATTTTATTATTACTAAAATTATTATTATTATGACTAGAATCTGGACACACAATATTTGTGCACCAGATTTGGGGCGGGGGGGAAGAGTAATTGTCCCTCAGCCCAGACTGAAACCTCTCCAATCTGAGAGCCCTCAGGAGATCCCCAACTGTTGGGTTAGGCCAAATTCCTGCAGGATCGGACCAAAACCAGAAGTCAGACATCCCTCTCGCAATCCAGAAATCTGGCTTCTAATTGTTCCCCTGCCTTCCTGATGTCCCTAACCACCCTGCCAGCCTGATCCCCCTAACTGCTCTCCCCTGCCAGCCTAATCCCTCTAACTGCTTCTGCCTCAGCACCGCCACCTTGGCTTTATCCAGAAGATCATCTGGAAGATGTCTGGTCTAATTAGCATATTACCCTTTTATTATTATATTCTTTTCATTTTACTTCACCTTTATCTATAAGCCAATTATATGTACACATTTATGTAAATACATATGTATATAAGTATTTACATATAAGCTATAAGTAGACATAGACATATGGTATATCACACACACACACACACACACACACATCTATAATTAAATATTTAATTCACTTACCAGTGTAGAAATATTTGAAATAGTTCCATGTTAATTCTTTGATAATTCTGACGTGAAATGGTGTAACACTGAGGGATATTCACCAGTCCACATTTGTTTCAGGAAAATACAAAATATATTTGCATTGCCAAGCAGTTAATGCATCACACTTCAATTAGCAAGGATTGTTCTCTGTGGTATTGGGTTACTGATACTTAGTGAACCATTTAATTTCTTCTCTGGTAATTATCACAGAGGTAGGTGGATATGAAAAAAAAATGCAAAATGTTCTAATTGTTGTTTTAAATTCCATAATAATTAGCTTCTGCATTAAGGAGATCACAAGATAGCATGGATTATTTTTCACTCCTAGTTGAATCATGTAAAGATGCAATTTATTTCTAATTTAAATCTATAGTCATTTTTTATTTGTATTTTGTGTACATGTACCATTTTTCCCATTGTTCTTTTATTTTTTTTTTATTAAATTATTATCTGTGTACATATTTTACATTGCCCCCCCCCCATACATACCCACTCTCCCCAGAGTTTTGTGTCCATTGGTTGTACTTATATGCATATATACAAGTCCTTTGGTTGTATCATTAATTTTATTTCTTGTTAGAGTCAATCAAAAATGGTATACTGGGAAGGCCTGGGAAGGGCACAGGAATGTGATGGAGGTGGTAAATGGTGGAGAGGGATGGTAAGGGGGATATCTGTAATACTTTTCAGCAATAAATATAAATAAAAAAATAAAAAATGTGGTATACTACCGATGTTTTAAATGCAATTGTTATTGACAGACATAGCATGAGATAAGTTCTACTTTTACTTAAACCTACAAAGTGTTGTAAATGTAACCCTTATGTGTTTATACTTAGTGAAATGGAATAAGAAAAATGTCATTATCTACAGGTTTACCCTTTAAGTGTATTATGAAGAGACATTAGGCCTGAAACCCCTCTATCTCTTATTCTATAATTAAAATTTAGTCATAATATTTAGACAATTTTGAGAATAAAAACAAAAATAAACAAAAAATAGTACCTAATGCTGTTCTAGAAAAAGTTCATAAAAATACACATTATTTGTAAAAAACAAACAGAGCCATATATAATCCATACATGTTCATTAATTTTCCTTTCCTTTTTGCTTTTGTAATTATTTTTACTCCAAAGATCTTTGTTCCTAAACCGATACATTGAAATTATATATATAAAAAGCCAGGGTCTGTAATGTCCAAAATGACCAAAGGGACAACTGAATGCCAGGTTGAATTCAGCAGTCTCTGGTGGGCAAGAACTGTTGAGCAGGCTGAACTGCTGACCTCTCATTGCCTCCCTCCTGCCTACAGTGGACTAGAGAAGGGCTGTGGGCCCCAGGACACCATGGTGCCACAATGGGAGAGGGCTGTGGGCCCCAGACCAAGATGTGGTGGACTTCTGGGTCTTACACAATCAGGGGCATGGCTAGCCTTCAAACTAGACCCTGACAGGAAGGAGAAGGGACTCCCATTCC